TTATTTGTTATTATTATTTTTTCATTTGACCAGAGAGAGACAGACAGAAAGGGAAAGTGAGTGCACACGCCACCAGGCCTGAGACTCGAACCATGGTTGGCTATGTGGGAGTCTGGCGCCTGAACCACTATGCCACCTGCTGGCTTCTGGCATGAGTTTTAAGCCTCCAGGTCTGGGACTTGGATTGCAGTTGACTACATGGGAATCCAATGACATAACCATTACGCCATCTACTGGTCCCAATGTGTATTTCTTTCATTCATGATAGCGATTATGTACATGCTTACGTGTGCATGCACACGAGAGAGAGAAGCACAAGCAGCAGGGTCTGGTTATGCCATGGTCTCCTTCCCTCAGCCCTCTAGCTGTTCAGGGATGGAATTTCAGGGGAATAGGGCTAGGGACCCAAACCTGTGGTTGGCAAGTGGTGTCCAGCACTACAGCTCAATATAGGGAGCTCCTCTTTTTTTTTTTTTAAGAATATTTTATTTAACTTTATTTATTATTATTAGCATTGTTATTTTCCAGTTTGATCAGAGAGAGACAGAGAGAGAGAGGAAGTGAGAAAGCAAGTCACCAGGTCCGAGACTGACTTGAACCACGGTTGGCCATGTGGGAGTCCAGAGCCCTTAACCACCATGCCACTTGCCAGCCCCTAGGGAGCTCCTCTTAATCATGAGGAATTTATCCTGTCGATAACCAAATTTTGATTGTAGTTTTAATTAGGAGTTTTCTCACTATTTCTATTAACCTGGTTAAGTGATAGTTAATTGTAGTTAAAATTCAGATAGAAATTTAAGAGAAAAATCAGAAACACTAATAATTTGGTTAAATTTTTTTCCAAAGTAACTAAGTTTTAAGCTTAGGGGAATAGGCTTTCCTGGCTGTCACCTGCTGCTCTGTTTTTTTCCTAACTCCTGCGGTTTCTGCACTCAACAAAAAAAAAATCAGAGATGGTAAGTGCCTGGGTTCCTCTCCCAGCCCTGTGCAAGGCTGGTGTGCCCAGGTATTGAATTCCAGGCCTGACTTCTTTGTTGGAGAAATACTACCTTCTGCTCATTTCCCACCTGCATAGGAAGTTTTCCAAATCTTTGAAGCTTGGAGATCAACATTCCAAAGCACTTCACTTCCCTCCAGCCTTGACACTCCATCTGGCTTGGGAATTGGAAATCCTGCTCAGGGGAAGCAGGAAGGGAAGGGTTCTGTCATTTACTTTCTCTTCTATCTGGAGGTGGTAGGTGAAATGAGAATAGGAGCATCTCCCCACAAGGTCTGGTTTTCAGAAGAAATCATTTAGCTAAATGTCTTGGGAAAATTCACCCCTTTTACTCCTTTGTGGAGTACAGGACAATGTATACGTAACTTTTTTTTTTTTTTTTAATCTCACAAAATGCAACTGCTAGGACTTTTTTTAACACTGTTTTTTTATTTATTATTATCATTATTTTAAAATTTGACCAGAGAAACACACAGAGAAGAGAGAAGGAAAGTGAGAAAGCAAGCCACCAGGTCTGAGATTCAAAGCATAATTAACCATGTAGGAGTCCAGTGTCTTAACCACCATACCATCTGCTGGCCCCCATGTTTTAATGAGGATGGTTACTGAGTGCTAACAATGTGTCAGACTCCTAACAGTTACTGAGTGCTAACAATGTGTCAAACGGTCCAGTGAAGTAGGGACCATCATGATGTACATTTCACAGATGAGAAAAGGGAGGCTTAGGTGTTTAGCTGGCTAGAGCAAGAGCAGACAAGTGTTTAAGTAGCCGCTTGATGTAACCAATGTAGGCAGAGTTCACACTGATGGGGTCCCTTAGATGGAAACAACTGAAGCTTTAAGTAACTCCACGCTTTCTCTCTGTTCCTATGATGTTGTTACTAAAAGCAGCCAGGCAGACTCCTTTGCCACAGAACAGAGCACGACCCTCCCAAAGGTCTTTGTGAGTCCCTCCGGGCCTCCTGTCCAGTGGCTGATTGAGTCAGGCAATATTTATTTTTAAAGAAATACTTGGGAACCAGCAGTTAGCGTAATGGCTGTGTCGCTGGACTCCCACGTAGTCGACCGCGGTTTGCGTCCTGGACCCGGTGGCTTAAAACTCACGCCGGGCGCGTGTGCGTGCGTGCCCAAGATCCCGGGAGGAGAATGGAAGAGAAGGGATTGCGGCGTGACCATCCCCCCTGGGGGGTGATTTCTCGCTTTCTGTCTCTATGTCTCTCTCTGTCTGTCTGGCGAGCGCACGCGCCCTATAGCGAAAAAAAACTCAAAAAAAAAAAAAAAAGAAATACTTAACATTAATTTATTATTATTATTGTTAATAATAATAATTTGACCAAGAGAGAGAAAGGGGAAGTGAGAAAGCAAGCTATCAGGTCCAGGACATGAACCGCAGTCGGCCATATGGGAATCCAGTGCCTTAACCACCACGCCACCTGCTAGCCCTAAGTCAGGCAGTATTTGAGAACAGGAGGTAAACCGTGTTCCCCAAAGAATTTGCCAATTTCCCCCCTAATGAGGCCACTCTAGATACAGATTAGAGAGCAGTACCAGGACAGTCGTCCTGTTTCCTGATCCTGGGTCTTAATGCTTCCCAAGGGCCTCCTCTCCCCCACTGACTTGAGGTGCACTGGGGAGGAGGGATTACCATTGGGGTAACCCTCCAAGCCTATAGACCAAAATCCAGAGAGGAAGATGGAAGAGAAGGAATTGAAGTGTGGCCATCTCCCCTGGGGAGGGCTTCCTCACTTTTCTTCTCTCTCATTCTATCTGTCCCTGGCAAGCACATGCTTCCCACAGCAAACTGGAAAAAAAAATTCATCCTTAGTTATACTTGGCTGTGATATTGGATTTCTATATTGCTTTTCAAGCGGAACTGAAGGAAAGAATGGGTTTGAAATATTAAATCAAAAAAAGGGTCTGGAATAGAGAATACTTCAGAAAATTCACATCTAACTTGGATTCTAAAGAAAAAAAGGCATTCTTGGGCCCGCAGATGGCATAGAGGTTGTGTTGCTGGACTCCTACATGGCTGCCCATGGTTCGAGTCTTGGACCTGAAGGCTTGAAGCTCACACCAGACACATGTGCATGCATGCCCAAGCTCCCAGGAGACGAATGAAGGAGAAGAGATCACGACATGGCCTTCCCCCTTGCGGGTGATTTCTCCCTTTCTCACTGTCTCTGTCTTTCTCTAGCAAATGCATACTTCTTAAGGCAAAAAACAAAAAACCAAAACAAAACAAAAACAACAACAACAAAAAACTCTTAAAAATAAAAGAAAAGAAAAAAGGTATTTTACCTTCTGAGACCCCATTTGCAGAATTCTGCCAAGTTCCTTCTAGGTGGCTCTATACGGGTGCTGGTTGCCTCTGTGCCTGCCGGGAGACTTCACAGTCACATCACCAGCTCCTGAGGAAATAGAGCTCCTCTGCGGAAAACACACTGCTTTGGGACAAATGTGTCCATAAAGACTGAGTCAAGGGCAAATGATGAAACAGACTTAGAAAAAAGTAAAAGGGAGTTCTCAGGCCAGCAGGTGGGATGGTGGTTAAAGTACTGGATTCCACGTGACCAACTCCACAGTTTGAGTCCTGGGCTTGGTGGCTTGGAAAACTGGCCAAGTGCATGTGTGTCCATGCCCAAACTCCCAGGGAGGAGAGTGGGAGGAGACGGGATTGCAGCATGGCCAAATTCCCTCAGGGGTAATTTCTCACTTCTCTCTGTCTCTCTCTGGTGAACTCGTGCACCTTATGACAAAAGCCTTTAAAAAAAAAAAAGTGAGCTCTCTGTTCCCCTCCCCCTTTTTATTTCTTCCATGAGAAAGTGATAGTGAAAGAAAGAGCCAAGCACCCTCAACAGGGTCTTTTTTTTTTTTTTTTGACGGGTTTTCCGTATAAGGTGTCAGACAGACAGAGAGACAGAGAGACAGAAAGCGAGAAATCACTCCCCGGGGGGATGGCCATGCCACATTCCCTTCTCCGTTCTCTCAGGATCTTGGGCACGCACGCACATGCACCCGGCGTGAGTTTTAAGCCACCAGGTCCGGGACATGAACCGTGGTTGACTACGTGGGAGTCCAGCAACATAGCCATTACGCTAACTGCTGGTCCCCTCAACAGGGTCTTCACACTGTGATCCATCCCAGGCCAACTAGGACTACCAGCATGTATGTATGAGTGCACCCAGCATGCATAGGGAGTCCTTCAGATGTAAACCCTGATCTCAGGACACTTACTTGTTTTTGTTTGTTTGGTTTTTTTTTTTTAAGAGGTTTTCGCTATAGGGCGCGTGCACTCACCAGACAGACAGAGAGAGACATAAAGACAGAAAGCGAGAAATCACCCTCCAGGGGGGATGGTCACGCCGCAATCCCTTCTCCTCCATTCTCCTCTCGGGATCTTGGGCAAGCATGCGCACACGTCCGGGGTCCGGGACGCGAACCGCGGTCGCCTACGTGGGAATCCAGCGACATAGCCATTACGCTAACTGCTGGTTCCCTGTTTTTGTTTGTTTTTAAATACTTTCTTTAACTTTATTTATGTATGTATTTATTTTAATTTGACCAGAGAGGGACAGAGAGAGAAAGTGAGAAAGCAAGCCACCAGGTCCAGGACTCGAACCATAGTCAGCCATGTGGGAGTCCAGTGCCCTTAAACACCATGCCACCTGCTGGCCCCACTTACCTGCCTTAACGATACTACACTTTAGTGTACCCCTGCCTTTTCTCCCCATCCAAGCCTAAAGTTTGTTTCCATTTCATGACCTGCGGGACCAGGAATCACATGAGGAGAGGTGCCATAGGCTCCCCTAGTTGTTTTATAAAACATGACCTTGGAGGTGCCTGTTTAGGATCCCATGGCCTCATGTTCAGCCTTAGGTCACAGGTCACATCTTCCAAGTAGAAGAGGGCTGTGCCCTCCACCCCACTTTCTGCACTAAGAGAGCACCTCCAGCACCCTCCCTGGAAGAGCTCCGTTCTTCCTTCCCACACTGCTCCTGCTTACCACTGCTGTGGGAGGGCTGGAGATGCTCTTTGGGGCTGTAGTTGACGTGTAGTTTACTTGTGCCTCTTGTTCTGGCTGTGTGCTCTACACCATGACCTGGAACAGACACATGGATTCCATCTGTACTTGCTTCAGATGCATGTTTAGGAAACTCAGGACTGATCCTGGAGATTCCTTCTTCTCTGAGAGCACATCCTGTCCCTAAGCAAGGACAAAGTGGTCCAAAAGTGTGAGAACTAGAACTTAAACATTCCAAGACACAAAGAAGCAAGGAGAAAGCCAGTCGTACATAAATCCCTGCAGAAGAGTAGTGTATAGGTGTGTGGAAGGCCCCAGAGTGCTAAGGCCCAGATCCTAGGCCCACTGCAACCTGGGCACCAGGTTTCCTGGGGTTGCTCTTTTTTTTTGGAGAGGTTTTTGCTATAGGGCATGTGTGCTCACCAGAAAGACAGAGACAGAAAGTGAGAAATCACCCCCCAGGGGGATGGCCACACCGCAATCCCTTCTCCTCCATTCTCCTCTTGGGATCTTGGGCATGCACGCCCACACGCCTGGTGTGAGTTTAAGCCACTGGGTCTGGGACTCAAACCACGGTTGACTACATGGGAGTCCAGCAACATAGCCACTATGCCATCTGCCGGTCGCCTGGGGGTTCCTCTTAACTGCCGTGCCAACACCTGAGCAAAACACATAGGACCAACCAATAATAAAGCTATTTTAAAAAATTATTTTATTTATTTTTTATTATTTTTAATTTTTTGCTATAAAAGCATGTGTGCTCACCAGAGAGAAGGGGGTTGAGGGGAGTGAGAAAGCAAGCCACCAGGTCCAGGACTTAAACCATGATCAGTCATTTGGGAGTCCAGTGCCTTAACCACCATGCCACCTGTTGGCCCCTATTCAGCTATTTTAAATAGGCTTGATGTCAGTAAAAGTGAAGTCACTTGCTTCTGACTGACTGCTGCAGACTGAGAACCATTCTCTAAAAGGAGATCCCTGGCATGTGTGATACTCAAGCCTTTTTAAATAGTTCTCTTACTCAATGGCAGGGACCAGCACTCAGCAGCCAGTGCTGTTTCCTCTGAAGAGTCTGCCTGAACTTGGAAAGACAGCTGCAGCTTCCAAGGAATAAGCAAATTCCGGTTTTACACAAATAGCAAAGTACTGTGCGTCACTCACACTGCTGACAACCCAAGGTGGCTCTGTCTCTCACACTCCCCTATTTTAACTACTCAGAACTATGTCCTCATATCTCACCTGCAGCCCTGGTCTTCCAGGTTCTTTCTGCAAGTCTTCTACCAGGGCCACTGCTTCCTCTCCACTCTCAGGTTGCTGTTGTCTAACCCAGACCTGGATCTCCTGGGGAAGGACAGTCAGGAACTGTTCCAGGACTAGCAACTCCAGGATCTGCTCCTTCGTGCACTTCTCTGGTCTCAGCCACTGGTGACATAGCTTCCAGAGTTGAAGGAGGACCTCCCGGGGTCCTGATGCTTCTTCATAGTGGAAATGCTAAAAGCCCTGGCAGGAGATCTC